GGAAACCATCAGGGCAGGTGCAAGTGGTTTTTGGGTTTTATAAGTGCAAACGGCATATGCTCACACAATCCATGAACCAGGCAAGTGTTAAGACCACCAGGCTGCCATGAGATGTTCCACAGGCCGGTTGACTCGTCTAAGCTGTACAATCTCACAACCCCGTCATGATCCAATGTCAAGCGCCTATTCAGCCTGGCTCCCGAATCAGATGCGTTGAATATGAGATTATCACTAGAAGCAAACCGTCCATCTTCATGCAGAATTGCTCTCCTGGTGCTATTATAAGGTGTTCTACCGCTATCGAAAACATTGACAATGTTACTAGGCCAATAAACGCTGGAAATTTGAGGACCATTGTAGACAAGATTCAAGACATTGTTATCATCAAATTTCAAGTTGTAGAATCCTGATAGGAACTTACCTTGGTTTCTTGCAGAGACCAAGGTTGTATTCTTGGTAAGTGGCTGCAATGCAAGCAGGGTATCTGTAGGAAATTTGAAACTCTCCCAAATGATTCTCCCTGCTTTGTTGGTTAATACCAGATTGCCAGTTTCAAGAAGCCTTACTTCTTCTCCTGATTCCAAAAATGTATTGGTCGACCATACAGTTGAACCATCACCATCAGTTAAGGCCAGGTTGCCATTTCCATGGATGGTCAACCGAGAATTCTTTCCATTAACAGGATTATCTCTATTTGCTATCCAAACAACAGTTTTGTCAAAAGAATTGGTGAACCAGATTGAAAAGCAATAGGCGTTTTTTCCCACCTTATAGAATCCACTTGAGAAAGTCCCCTTAGGAGAAACCAGCAAGTTATTCAGATTCTCAACAGACAAAGAGCTTCCCTGCTTTAATCTTTGCTGCTGCCCAGATAAACCCCGCACCACAGTAATTGGAAACAGGAGGATCAAGAGTAAGAACAAGCTGGTAAGTTGTGTAACTGCGCTCCTTGGTTTCTTAGAAGCTTTATACCCAGAAGAATATGGTGAAGATGTGTTAGCATGGGAAATTCGCTTAGCTGCTGCCATAATCGTAAGCAGATTGAGAGATGATGAAGTTGTGGGTTTTAGCTTTTAGCTTTTAGCTTTTTTCTCAACGAGTAGATATTCTTTAAATAAATTCAATAATTGTCATGTCTTGTTGGAATCTGGCTTTTAGATTCAACACATCAATAATCATCAGGATTGGCGGCTTTTCTTAAACTTAAAAAAATATCAGTCGAAAGAGGAAGACTGCATGTCCATCTCCATCAGAAACTTCATTTTTCTTTTTTAATTAATGATTTGCATTATTGTTTCATAAAGGAAAGATCTTCAGCATCATATTAATGTCAGCCATGATTTTTTGTCTCTCTTGGTGCCGGCCCAATTGATTTATTGCAGTTTGACTTTATTAATTTATCTCTGTTTCATTCCTCAAACCGCTTTGATAATGGCATAATGTATGTGATTGACTTGGTATTTAATCCAGTAATTGTATATATGAGTTATTTGGATCCATAATTCCTGTAGTTGTGTGTAAATCTATAACTGTTTGTTTTATTTCTTTATATGCAAACACTAAGGATGTCTTGTTAATTTATAATATTTGAATCTTCTATTTGGGTATTGTTGCCTCCTAGCATTACCTATACAATATATATATATATATATATTTGAAAAATGAAAAAGTTTGAGTGAATAATATATCAGGAAAGAATATAGGTGGTCTTTTAATATTTTGATAAGTGGCATCAAAACACCTTATAAATGTAATTAACTCAAATTTAATTGTTATGTTATACACAAGTTGACAATTAAAAAAATTAATGGAATTCATCAAAATTGAGGATAATATATCATTCAACAGCTGGTGCACTTCTATTTTAATAAGTAAAATATGTATTTTAATTCAGTGGACTCTTTTGTCTTCAGTAATATGTTTTATGAAAATTTTAGTAATATATTATATACTTAATTAAGTTGATGTAAATAAAATAAAATATTCTCGTTTATATTTAATTTGATGACATTAATTTTTGGTATTTAATATGAAAAAACTGTTAGTGGCCTTAATATTCTAATTATTGACATTTTAATTTGAGTTTGTTTTTTCTCTTAGGAATGGTATCATGATAATGTTTTATTATAATATTTTATCTATATTTTCTGATTAAGATTTTAGGTTCAACAATTGTTTTTGGTTTGGAAATTCGTATATTTAAAATGATTTTATATATCTGATTCAATGATACTATTATTTCATATTATTATTAAAAAAAATTTGTGTAAAATATGCACTTCTTCATTAATAAAAGAAAAAGTGATCAGACTTTTATTTGATATTTTGTTTTAAATTTTTGGATTCTTTGATATTTTAATCACATAATTTTTCTGATGTTAAATATGTTTTTATAGTCTCATATTTGAGAACTCTCTAATTTTTTTTTTTGTATAAAAAATCATTAAAGATAGAAAAACAAGAACACTTATATGAAAAATATTGTTTACAAATATTTCAATTAAGATACCTAAATGTGACATAAGTTCTTTCTCTTATTTTTGAATTGATTAAAATAAAATGATAAATCTAATTTTTTAGTCTCTGCTTATAAATCTAAATTTTCATTAAGAATGGCAAAATTTATGAGATTATACACATAAAATATAAAACTTTAGTCAATTAAGAAATCAATATTTTAAAAAATAACAATAAGATAATATATGAAAAAAATTTGAAAAGTTGTTCGAGTGTTTTCTAGAAAATTTATTATATTTAATTTTGAAAAAATTGAGCTAAATAGATAGATTTGAAAGCACAATATTTCCTTTTAAGACTGAATAATTGTTAGAAAGCACAATATTTCACCGTTCTAAACTCATGTTACATTACATTTATTCAACAGAAACAGCTGGACATCAACCTTAATTTAGACAAACCAGTGTTACATCTGGAAGAATTTTTACATCAGAGCATGAACATTGTCAGAGAGATCATCACATTGTAATAGAGCTTCTACTACTGATTTCATGGTGGGTCTCTTGTTTCTATCTTCTTCCACACAAGATATCCCAATTTCAACCATTTTAGCCACCTGCTTCATGTTGAATTCACCATTCAATCTTTCATCAACTGTCTCTTCCACCCATGACTCATCTCCACACTCAATTTTTCTTTTCAATATCCTGATAAATCTCCCCAACCCTGTCTCATCTGCTTCATTGCAATCCTCCTTGTCCAACCAATTCGAAATTCGAATTCCCTTCACCATTTCAAGAATCACAATCCCATAACTATATACATCCACTTTTGCAGTGATAGGAAGGTTCATTGCCCACTCGGGTGCCAAGTAACCTTTCGTGCCACGAATGAGAGAGATTTTTGAAATGTTGCCTTCTCTCTGAAACAATTTAGCCAGACCAAAATCAGAAATCTTGGGTTCAAAATCACTATCTAAAAGTACATTCTCAGGCTTCACATCACAATGTATAATCCATTCTAGACACTCATGATGAAGATATCCTAAACCCTTGGCTGTCCCTAAGGCAATCTTAAACCTCTCTTTCCATCCAATGATCCCTGGTGAAAATAAATGTTTGTCAAGTGAACCATTTTGCATGTACTCGTATACCAGCAGTCTCTGTTTCTTTTCAGAACAGAATCCAAACATTCTCACTAAATTCATATGACTAATCTTCCCAATTGTGCTTACTTCTGTCCAAAACATCTCTTCTCCTTGGCTAGCATCATTCAATTTCTTCACAGCAACCACTCTTTCATCCTTTAGAACACCCTTGTAAACAACACCAGAACCTCCTCTTCCCAATTCTTCCTTCATTTTATTGGTAGCCTTCTTGAGTTCGTCATAAGAAAACCTCCTGAACTGGCTCAGTATGGCTTGATACCCATCTTCGACCGAACTTGGGACAACATGGCCTCCAAGAAAAAGAAACCACCAAGCTGATGCTATGAAGAAAACTTCAATTGCACCAAGAACAGAGATAAACCAGTAGAGATAGTACCATCTTGTCCTTTTACTATTATCACTACCATACATAGAAGGAGAGCCCAGAGTGACTGTGTCATTTGGGTTACATGTGGGATGTATGACATTGAAAAGGGTGGAATCTGGCGCCTCAAAATTCATTGGATACTTTAGATACAAGCTGCCTGGAAAGTCTGGAGACATGAGACCATTCATAAGAATCCTTTTAGCAAAACATCTAGCTTCCCCATCAAGCCTGTAACTAAATCCTTCACAGAGACAATCACCCAAGCACTGCTGCATACAAAAATTGAATGTTGTAGTAGAATTGTAATAGAAATCAAACCCCCAGAAATCTACATGTAGAAGCTCCACAAATTTGAACTCTTGAGATTGGGAATCATTTGAGCAGGTTTGCTTGAACTTAGGCTTACAACCTTGAGTCCAGTCACGAGGCTGAGCCATTTCATACCCAGGAGGACACGAGCATTTTGGATTTGGTGCATAAATGCAAATCCCATTTTTCCCACAGGCACCATGTACGCTGCATTGTCGCTTCATTGATACCCATGAAATCACCCACGTTCCAGAGGTGTTGTTCAGACTGTAAAGCCTGAGGTTTCCATCATAATCCATTGTAAGCCTCCTCTTGATGCCAAATCCCATATCAGAAGCATTGAAATGAAAATTATCGCTTGATGAAAACCTACCCTCGTCATCTAAAACAGCAATTCTGCTACTGTTATAGTTTGTTCTTCCGTTTGGGAAGACGTAAGAATCAGGATTAGGCCAATACAAGCTTGTAATATCGGGTCCATTGTACATCAACTTCAACACATTATCATTATCATAAAAGAAAACAAAGTATCCCGGAGCATAATTCCCAGTTCCTAATCCAGAAATAA